CTTTTTTTGCTAGCATATATAGGTTATAAGACGACTGTGTCACTTTTTTGCATACGAATTCTATATGGCTTTGCCATTTCAGATTTTCATCAATGTGAACGCCAAGAAACCTTGTAGTTGTTGTTATTTGGACTTCTTTGTCATTATATTTAATTTGTGTATTAAAACTATATTTAGTTTTTTGTTTGAATTGCATTATCTTAGTTTTATCTATATTCACTATTAAATTATTGTTTTGTAGCCACTCAATTATTGACTTTATGCTACTATTTATGGCGTTTAGCTGCAACATTGCTACCAGGAGGTAAAACTGCTCACACTATGTTTAAAATACCAATTGATTTAGATCGCATGGAAAGTCCAACCTGTAGTATTTCAAGAAGTAGCGACAAAGCTAAGGTATTACGTGAGTGTAATTTAATCATATGGGATGAATGTACGATGGCCCACCGAAAGGGAGTAGAAGCGGTAGACAGAACTTTAAGGTATATAAGACAAAATGAGCGACCAATGGGCGGTATCACGGTTTTATTTTGTGGTGATTTCCTACAAACCTTACCGGTAATACCACGGGGAACCCGAGATGATGAGGGTAGGGCTTGTCTAAAAAGCTCTTATTTGTGGCGTGATATACAATTGGTACATTTGACTATAAACATGCGAATGAGAACTGGAGATAACCCGGATGATCGTCAATTTTCTGATAAATTATTAAAGATTGAGGAAGGTACCTATCCACAACTACACCAAGGAAAACTTATTCTGACGCCTGAGTTATGTTGTATAGTGCAATCCCAACCACATCTTATATCGTCGGTTTACGGTGACGTAACAATTATATTAAATAGGGACAATTTTTCGCTATGCGAACCTCGCAATGACCAGGCATCTGAAATTAATAACTAAATACTGTCGAATATACAGAGGGAAAGCAAAGTTTATAGTTCAATAAATAGAATGGTCGATGAACAAGAAGACACTAATTACCCGATAGAATTTTTAAATTCTTTAAATATGCCCGGACTTCCTTCTCATGAAATTTGTTTAAAAATTGGCATTCCGATTATTCTGCCACGAAATTTAAGACCACTACAAGTTTGCAATGGAACTCGGCTAAAAGTAACCCACTTGCAACAAAATATAATCGAGGCTCAAATTTTAACAGGTTGCGGTGCAGGAGAAACCGTCTTTATTCCCAGAATTCCCATAATACCAAATAATTTTCCATTCCAATTTAAAACAACGCAATTCCACGTATCATTGTGTTATGTAATGACAATTAATAAGGCTCAAGGGCAGACTTTTCGTATTGCTGTTGTCAGTTGTTTCTCGCATGGTCAGTTGTACGTCGCTCTTTCCCGGGTTAGTAGTTCTAGAAATCTTTATGTTCACGTGCCGGACGGGTCAACTTTCAACATAGTTTACCCGGAAGCTTTGCGCTGAAGTATTTTTGTTCTATAAGTACTTAAGCCTCATGTGAACGTGATCTAAACAATACTAGCAATATATTAACTTAATAACACACAAGGAGTTACACTCCATGCAAAGCCCAGCGACACTATAACATATATAGGAATGACGTCTTAGCAAAAGTTGTTTAGTCTGATGGGCATTTCCTGTTGACTTACAAAAATGAAAGATCTAGAACGTCTCGAATCGTCTCGCGAATCACGTTGTTTTCCCGTCCCCGGATTCTTAGAATTCAACATCAGAGGTTTCAGTTGTCGCTGGTATAAGGAACAGGATCCGCGTACGAAGTCGCGGGCAGAAGCTAGTATTAGATATAAATGTGAAAGTTTGTGAGGATGTATGGAAGTTTGTTACTACAAAAACTACTGAATGCATTTTAATGAAACATTACAATAATATAGCTCATACATTATAATAACACATTAGCTATAATTCCCAAAAATATTGTGTAAATTGACCAAAATATAACAATAAATGTGTAAGTCTGAAGACTATTGTCTGCAAGCTATGTTGGCATGAACACGCATCACGCAAAAACCTGTGAATTGATTTGGATGGGACCTTCACGGGCAGATAGCTGATGTTTTAAGGAGTAACTTAGGCTACTTTTATTTTAGGGTTTCGCGCAAAAAATTCCACGCGGGCGAAATCGCGGGGAACAGGTAGTATAAGATAAAGCTTTCTAGTTCTTTTGGTAATTTTACGGTTTCTAGGTAAGATTTTGTCAAAATCGCCTACCTCAATATGATGAGACTTATTTATTTAATTCAAAGTTTGTGATAGGTGATACTGATAATTTATGTGCTAAGCTATTTTGCTATTGTAGTTTGCTAATAAGCGTTGTTAACGTTAATAGTCTAATTTTCATGTTTGTCTTCTAATTAGTTACCTTCGACTGTGCAATTAAAATTGGTTGTAAGTCTAGATAAACTTTCAGTCACCATATTATGAAAGTCAATTTGTGTAATAAAATTGTGTTTTATTTTCAATTAGCTACCTTTTCTTGATACGTTTTTCAATGGTCTATTGGCGCAAAAGTGGTCATTTATTGGAGCGCACTGGTCAAATTTAGGCACATTCCCGTTTTTCTTAAATATTTGGAATCAAATAATTTATCTATATTGCAACATTAGTGATCAATAAACAACTTTGTATATGCATTTCTATCTTAAAATTAAATAATATAGTGAAAATGTGTCCTTAACTGGTTTGGGACTGGTACACTCACCCTACTATACTCTCAGAATGTAGTAACCATAGATTACTGTACAAATACTAGAGATAGTAGTAACGTCAACTCGGCTAATCTCTAATGTACTCTTTATCCATCTACTTAGCGTTTGAACGGAAACCTTATCATGAGGCTTTTTTGTACTAATAAAAAGTGTAGAGGTTTGGTAATATTTAAGTAATCGTAAAACAACTTAGACGGACATATTTCGGGTCTTCCTCTATTAAAGTATAGAAGAACAAGGGTTGGCTGCTTAGAATGATCGCGAGATGTTTAATTAAATCGGGGACTTTAATAGAAATTTCATTGAGTGAAATTCTCATATTTTGAATATTTATTTTTGATAGGGTTTTGGCCCTGTGCGCCGATATTAGTGCAAGTAGGATAACTAGTTTTTAGACACGTTCTCTTAAAGTAGATTTTCATTCGGCACTCAGCTAGCGGGAGTTTTTATTACTAATGAGATGTCCCAAGTTGAATTATATTTGGGTAAAGGGCAGTGCCCTGATGAGTTCCGACAGTCCAAGGCTGCCTCCCCCCCGGTCTGTTCAGTCTGTGCCTGCCCAGCTCACGAATATATTTACTACATTTTTTATATTTTACTAGCTATCTACTCCGTGGTTTCGCTTTAAGTCTGCACTTTAAGTAGAATTTTCCTTATAGTAAGAGTCGACTATCGCCTATGAACAACTGCAACACAAGAGAAATTGCAGGTGCGTTGGCGGCCTTTTTAAAAAGGGTAAGCCCATTTCTTTAAGGTCTCTAAATCGTATCGATCCGGAAAAATTACCAGTAGTGGATGATTCCATAAAGAAGTCTTAGGAGGAAGAAAACTCATAGTAAATCGCACAGTCTTGGTGGACTGCTAAACATCCAGATGGTGTGGTTTATACCGCGAGTTTTCTCCCAATGTGCGTTGGTGGAATTTGGCAGCTGGAATTAATCTAAACAACTTGTTTGATTACTCCCCGTGGAAAAAGCGATAGAAAATGCAATGGGATGCAACATCTCTTCGCAGTGCCAGTAAATCGAGCCGATCAGAATGATCTCGGTCGTTGACGATTCGAATCACTCTTCACTGGATGCGGTCAGGTGCAAGGAGTTTGCACTGGGGTGCCCCAGCCCAGAGATGAGAACAGTACTCCATGTGAGAACAAACTTGCGCCGGCATAAAATACTGTCCCGCTCTACTGAGCACGCCAAGATTTTTAAAGACCAATTTAGCCTTCCCTTCTGAGTGACCGCGGAACTGTACGTCATTTGATATGTCGATGCCGAGGACTCCGATGTTGGCTGTGAGATTTCGTTTATTGAAGACTCTACTTCAGACACAGGTTTGGTTCGATGACGTGATCGCGAGAAATATTAGCACGGCCTTGTGTAAAAAGCATCATCAGTGTTACAACCAGTAACAGCAATATATAATTGATATAGTACAGAATAAAATGCGTAGGTGATTACACGCAGCCTTTTGGAACGCTAGCATTAATAGGCTCGTAGTCGGAGTATGCACCGTCTATTATAACCTTCATGCTCCGATCTGCAAGAAAACTGATGATCCAATTGCACAATTTCTCGGAAAGGAGTCTAAAAAAGTCCTTTGAAGACATTCACTACGTCCAAATTCGAGGTTTAATATATTTTTATATATTCCATTAGTTTGGAGAATAAGGAGGCGATTGTGATAAGCCTGTAGTTTGGACTGGTCTGAACGGTCTCTTTTTTAGAAATCGGGTGCACTAAAGCTATCTTCCATAAGTTCAGGATTACGCCTAGGGAGTAGGAGTAAATGAAAAGACAATTTCGTATTGTTGTTGTAATCTATACTTAAGATTATTATATTTTTACTATTGCATAATTTTTTGGCAAATATTTTAAGTCCAATGAAAGCCGTCATTAATTCTAAATAATTAATATTATGATGCTTACGTTCAGCGTTATCCTAATACCGATTGCCATCTTTCGCGTACAGACCACTAATAACACACATAAACTAATAACCTGAGTGTCGATTTTCAAGTCTCTACCTTCAAAAGCATAGGACTTTCATACAATTTTTTATCCCGCATTTTACCCCCTTTTGAATATTTATTTGGATAATTGCTTATACATGTTATTATTATTTAGAATTTATAACTTAAATGCCGACTTTCATGTCTCTAGCTTCAAAAACGTAAGACTTTCATACAAACTTCCAACTCCCATTTCACTCCCTTTTTATTATGTACGAGCAGCTGTTCAGGTCTAGAAAGACCAGTATCACTGCAACCTAAAAGATCTATTGTGATCGCTGCTATATCTACAATTCACTGCTAAGCCCTATGTCCTCAATGAATAGAAGGAGTTGCTTAGCTGTGAGTAATTTCACTTCTTTTGGGCGAAGTATAGAGCAAAACCGGCACATCCTTGAGTTGCCAGTCAGGGCTTTTACCAGAATGCGCAATTTATTTTTACCTAATCCCAGGGCTTCCGAAGCGAGTTTACGATCGAAAGCCCGGATTAAGGTTTTAGAATGTTTTAAGCCTGGTGTATCAGACCAGATCTTAAGTAATTTATTGTGGTAAAGAGTTTCCAGGGTCAATCGGGCGAGGCTTTTTGAGATTCCACAAAATAGCTTGGGTCCAAATTGTGTACTGTTTGGGCCCTCCTGTACGAGCTTGTCGGCAGTTTCATTACCCACAATACCCGCATGACCCGGAACCCATCTTAAAACTATCTTGTTGTTACCTCCCAAGGCGTTTAGGCGGCTCACGCAGTCTCCAACTAGCTTCGAGTTCTGCAAAATTGATCTCAGCGCTAACAGTGCTGCTGGACTATCAGAGTTAATATAGATTATATGGCTAATGTAGTGTTTTTGCAGATTGATTTCCGCACACTGAAGTATGGCGAAAATTTCAGCCTGAAAGATAGAGGTGAATCTACCCAAATTCATACTAAGTTTGAATTTGGGTCTCTCCCCATAAATTCCAAAGCCTACGTTGAGGCCCATTTTTGAGCCATCGGTATACCATATAAGGCTACCGAGCTCACAGATGACCTGTCCATTCAGCCAGTCTTCTCTGGAGGGTAGTTCCACTGTATACTTTTTGTTAAAAGTATATAGTGGACGCATGATATCTGAGATCATACGTAAGACCGGTGTTTCCTTGATTGAGTCGAGCCTGGATCTCAATCTATAGGAAAGCAAGCTCAAACCGCCCTGAGCGTTAATCCTATTGAAGTTATCCTTCGCCTCCATGTCTAAAAAAAGATCAAGGGGCATTAGGCCTGGAATTGCATAAAGAGCCGCTCCAGGCGATGATCGCATCGGTCCAGTTGCCATTAAGGTAGTCCTTTGTAGACTATTTAATCTGTCTGCAGTCGTTTTTTGGTGACCTTATTACACCAGACAGTGGAGGCGGAGGTAAGAGTCGGCCTCACTATACTGCTGTGCAGCCATTGGATTATGCTGGGACGCAAGCCCCAGTTGTTCCCGACCTTGCGATTGCACGTAACTAAAGCAATTTTTGCCTTATGACATATATTGCTAAGGTGAGAGTTCCACGTTAGTTTTTGATCGATTGTTACGCCCAAGTACTTAACTTCAGTGGAGAATGGTACTTCTTTACCATTAAGTTTTGGTGCGACTAAATTGTCCAACCGTCTCTTATTGGTAAAGGATACCCTTTAACAGTTTTATCAGATTTAATTGATAAACTGTTAGCCATGCACCAGTTGTTTATGGTGTTTATGGCTCTTTGTATGATTGATGATAAAATACTTTGGCAAAAACCCCTCACAATGATCACAAGGTCATCAGCATAACCCAGTGTGTCAATGCGAAGGTCTGCCATCTTGTACAGTAATTGGTCAACCGCAAGAGTCCAAAGGATGGGTGACAAAACACCACCTTGTGGACAGCCTCTTGTAGTTGCAATCTCAATTGAGGTTTGAAACATCTCTATTTTTGCCTTTCTGTTTGAGAGCATCGACTTCAACCACCTGATGGTTGTGGTGTCAACATTTTTAGATGTCAGGCCGCTCACCAGTAGTGATGTAGCGCTACTGTCAAAGGCGCCCTCAATGTCTAGAAAGGCACAAAGAGCTATTTCTTTATCCTCTAGCGCTTTTTCGACCCTGTCAATAAAACTGATCAGGGTTGTTTCCGTAGATTTGCCTCTGCGGTAAGCAGGCTGGTTGTAGTGTATAGGTCTCGTAGCTAGAGCTACATCCCTACGAGTTATATATCTATCTATAACCTTTTCCAATGTCTTCAGAAGGAAGAAAGTAAGGCTTATAGGTCTAAAGGATTTTGGTAAGACGTATTCCTTTCTACCAGTCTTAGGTATAAATAGAACTTTGACAATTGTTCATCGTTCTGGAATATATCCCCATCCAAAGCTTTCTCTGAAGATTTTCACCAGATAAGGAAGAAGGATGTCGATGCCCCCCTGTAGATGGATGGGCATTATTCCATCCTCCCCACTTGTCTTAAATGGTTTAAAGGAGTCAACAGCCCACTGCACCAGTTTGTACATTAGAGCTATTATGGCTATCCGAGTACAGAATCACGGGACCTATCCAACTGCAGAGAGGTGTAAGACAGGGTGATGTTATATCCCCGAAACTCTTCACCGCTGTATTGGAAGACGTTATCAAGCTGCTGGACTGGAAAGGATGCGGTATTGACATCAATGGCGAGTACATCACTCACCTTCGATTTGCCAACGATATAGTCCTTATGGCAGAATCGCTGGAGGACCTAAGCACTATGCTCAATGACCTCAATAGTATCTCCCAATGGATAGGTCTTAAGATGAACAGAAGACATACCTCAAAACCTGAAAACGAAATTGTACAACCAGTGCATGTTGCCAGTGATGACTTACGGATCTGAGACGTGGTCCTTCACTGCTGGCCGTATGAGGAAGCTCAAGGTCGCTCAGCGAGCTATGGAGAGGGCTATGCTCGGGGTGTCTCTGCGTGATAAACTTAGAAATGAGGATATCCGCAGCAGAACCAGAGTAACCGACATAGTCCAACGGATTAGTAGGCTGAAGTGAAGTTTAAGCTTACCAGCGGATTGGATATGAGAAAGTCAAAAAGTAACTCACCTCTTTCGTTGATGTTTGTGCTTCCCCATGCTGTGTGGTGAGCATTAGCACCATATCCCACCACAAGATCGGCGTTGTGTTTACGGGCGAACTCCGCCACTCGCTCTAACTCGATGGCAGGATCTGGGTTCTCTCCGGGAAGATAGGCCAAACAAATGATTACTCTGGCCCCTGTGCATCCCTTAAGATTTATAAAGGCTGTGACCAGGTCGTCATTGCAATACTCTGGAACATTAAAAGTTCAATATTTTTATTGTATATTATACAAGCTCTGGGTCTACTGCCTTTAGTATTGACTAAGATCTTACCGACAGCCGACAATCCCAGAACTTGACCGTTGGCCACCCAAGGCTCTTGTATGAGAGCGAGGTCGATGTTGTCCTCTGCGAAGCAAACCTCCACCACGGCAGAAGCAGCTGCTGCATGGTGAAGATTTGCCTGGAGGACCCTCATTTTACCCTTGAGATTAGCCATTTATAAGCGTGGGGGGGCAGAGGTCATTTTCGCCTGCTTAAGATGAGGACGTCCTTTACTGGCGCTCTTGACCGCCGTCGTTTACCGCTCCCACCTCGTTTCCCCTTACCCCTGGCTGACACCAGCGGAGGCTCTCGGACCGAGGCGAGATTCGCGCCTTGGGTCACAGTCACTCTCGCTGATGTCGTTCCAGTCTCACCCCCCAATGTGGAGGGCTGGAGGAATTGGAGTTGGGGCGGTTCAGGCTCCATTGCCGCGTCAGAGCCTCCCCTGACCCTAAAAGTTATAATTTTAAAGCCAAGGACGGCTCTGCCGCCCGCCGCCCGGACAGCCTCCGCCGATGGGTCGTCCAAAGAAAAGATTACTAGGAACCCATTCTCCTCGTACCTACGGTGGAGGATTTTCCAGAGCTCGGTATGGATCCCGTCATTTTGTGCCCTCAACAGCACAGCCACATCCACTGGGGAGGCTTAGGCAGTTCGCTCTCGGGTATTATCGAGAGCTCTGCCTCTAGCCAGGGTTTTAGTTTTCCGATCTCACCCGCAATCCAGTGCTGGCTTGCCTTATTCAGACACGTTACCAGAATCCAACCTGGCTTGTGGGTGAAACCCGAAAAGTTTGGTCCCGTTCCCGGCTGCGCTCCACAGGCCGTCTTAGCAATAGCCTGCGTTAGTGCCCGGTGGACCAGCCGCATCTGCTCTACGCTCATAGGATTCGAATTGCGAATTCCTACACGCGCGGAGCCAGTTATGGCACTGAAGCTGAGCTTCTTCTCCCCCGTTGCCAGCTTCACAGATTTCCTGGGCTGGTCTTTGGGGGACTCTTCCTCAGACTGACTGCGTTATTTCGCCTTTGGAACTGGGGGAGGTTTGGGCAGAGGGATTTCATCCCAGGGCTTCTGGCAGAGAGAGAGGGCCTCTTCGGCTCCTATCTCAGCTGCTATCAGCCTTCGGTACCTCTTCCGTGCTGCCCCACTAAACTTATAAGGCCTAGTGAACTTTTTCTTTTCCCCTCCATGGTCCGTTTCCGATTGTGTTTCGGCTGCAGACGTGCCCTGCACTTCGCGGCTAGTCCCAGGTGAAGCTAAAAGAGCTTCTTCCAGACCTATAGTCAGTTCCATTAAAGGAGAGTTTATCTTTTCAAAATGTCGATCTTCGTCCATTTTGTTCCCACGAGTAGCTAGGGGAAAATTCGGTCACCCCCGGCAGAGCTCCGCATGCCGGAGCAAGGGCTAAAATACTACCCGAATCGCCCTGGTCTCGGGCAAGCACCGTTTGTGACTGGACTCCCACCCAGCCACGCATCCATCGGCACGGTACGCTTAACACCTTGGATTGCATAGGAAAAAGGGGGTGGGATAAAAAGAAATAAAAAGAGGATCGTCTGAGTGTTTCTGTTCTGTCTGTTTCCTATTGAACCAGACCAAATAACAGGTGGCAACCACGTAAAGGAAGAACTCCTCAGACTTGCCCTGGGGATCAACAAACCTGCGTTCTCCTCCAGAGCCATTCGCCAAACTGCTCGCCGGACAGGAGAGCAGAATTGGTGTTAATCTAGTCCTACTGATAATGTAAAATGTGAGAATTAAGAGTAGACTAACTTCCACCCTAAACACTCCCTTAGGTGTGGATTTTCTCAAAACTGTTTCTTAGCTGACCTCTCGCCATAAAGGAACCTACTTTCCAAACTTAAAGTTTGTATGTTTCATAGTTCCTGAGATATCGATATGATAGTCAATCAGTGAGTGGTATTTCGCTTTTATACATAAGTATATATAGATTATAGTGCTAAATATATATTTATAATTCACCCATATTTTCATTTGTTCTTATAATCGGCGAGCCACATGATTTACTGTTTTATTTCAGACATGACATTTAAATGACATGATTGATAAAATACAGGGTATCACGGTCGACAACGCAACTGCAAATACCAAATTTATGTAAGAACTGGACAAACAGCTGCCACGTTTTGATTCAGACAATCAACATTTCCAGTGCTTTACTCACATTTTGAACCTTGTTCTACAAGATTTATTAAAGATCTTAGCATTACACAGTCAAACTGACAATAACGGACAAGAACAGCAGTATGAAAACTATGAAGGCGAAACTCACAGTGACGAGACTCACGTACAGCTATAACAAAATTACGCAGTATTTCCAGTAAAACAAAAGAAGTGAGATATTGAAGAGGAAGTATCAGTCTGCTTGTGAAGCAGCTGCGTGCCATCAAATCTGAATCCCATACTCGACTGTCCAACGAGTTGGAATTCCACACATGATATGATTGGATTTGGTTTAAAAGTGAGAACTGGCATTAACATATTGTGCACTTCTGTCACCGAATTGAATGATTTTCAAATCACAGATAGTGAATGGCAAATACTCGAAATAATACATAAGTTTCAGAAAAATATGTTACATTACCGCTAGTCATTGTATCATTCAATCTCTTGCTCGATAAAATTTAATCCATGGTAAAACAATTAGATGAAAAACCTAATCAATCCGAAGTGGATGACAGACTCATTCTGGGCTTCCAAGCAGCTCGAGACAAAATGCTTAAACATTATAAGAAGAGCAACTGGATTTATTATATACTCTTTAATTTTAGACCCAAGGCATAAAGCTCAGACTTTTGACATGACAACAGAAAGCCTGCGCAAATTTAATGAACTTTATAAAGAATATAAAAGTCTACACTCAGTGAATAAATCTCTCTAATCACCAAGAAATGAAAAGAAAGTATGTGAATATGACGAAGATGAAGACGTAATAGACTTTGAGAAACTGTATGCATGTCAGTCGACATAATCTGGATCTGGATCTTGTCTTCAAGGCTTAGTTATTGACGAGTTAGAGGAATACCTAAGTAAACCCCTCAGATCATAGAAACAACAGGAGATATGGCAAGGAGGCGTGGCGCTTGCGAACGCATCTGGCCGCAAAGCGGCCTGATGCCAGTTTCAGTAATTAGTCGAATGTCAACTTGCGACGTGTTTACTGCTCGTGATTTTTAACAAAATGCCGCGTTGTTCAGAGATCGTTTGCAAAACTAACAGCTATATTGTGAGTTACATGAAAGATGGCATCTCATTTCACACGTAAATACTAAAATATTAATGTTTTTCTTATTAAATTCATTAAAACATAACTTCGTGGTACTAGAAACACGATGAAAAACCAAATAAAATGTTTTCATTAGGAACAAAAACCATTGCTTGCTTAGTACACATCGGCTAGTAAATCGGCTGGTCTAATAGCGCAATGGATAAGTGTTTTACTGATACTTTCACTCAAACGATAGTTTTGTGAAGCGTCCGCTGCCGGATTTTGTGAGTTAGAGATGTAATGTGATGTTTGTGGTTGTCGATATTTTATACGATTCTGCTAAGTACGAATGATTATGCATGATACTATTAATTATTGTAAAACATAATTTGTTACTACAGTATAAGTAACTGCGCATTTTATGGCGTTAATGAAAGTTGTCGTTAAATGGAGATAAGAAAAATGAATATTGGTAATGGTATTTAACTTCTATAAAACTTCCAAACGGTAAAAAGGCTATCAGTACACAGAGAAAAACCGTTTTTATTAGCTTTTTAGTATACACAGAAAGCCTCAAGGCATTGTACATACAACTAGTTAAAAAGGCCATTGTATTGATTAATATTGTTGAACCACAATATTAATTATAATTTATTTATTAATATTTTGTTTTAACTACATATTGTACATTTTTATTATAATATTTTCTGGACATATCGTTCTTTATTTATTTTACTTTATTATCATGACCCCAAAAAATCTTTAGTACAATTATAAATAGAAGAATCGACAACTTTCCGATTTAGTCAATCACTAGCATCTACGTAAAATCCATGCCTTTTGCACAGAACAACGATAGGGACAGATGTTTTTGTATGAGTAAGTCGTACGGTTCATGGTAACTGCACGCTGTGTATGATAAAATAAGGTTTATAATTGGTTGTGTTGTACGTTCTGATTTATTAAATGCGGGTGTGTGCGCGACTGTGTATCTATTGATTTTACTGATCTGCATATGTAGTAGTTGGCGTGTGGCGGGGACAAACTGGCGACAACAGGTGCCGATACATTTTAATGTACCGGGCATATCTCCTGTTGTTTCTATGATCTGAGGTAAACCCAGATCCACCAGCTCGGAAGACATTTTACAGTGGTGGAGGACGCATGAGACAGAATATCCGACTTTATCGCAGATGGCCCGTGATTTTCTTTCAATACCTGCAACTTCAGTACCTGCTGACAGATTATTTTCTAAAGCATCATTAGTAATTAGAAAACATAGAAATAGATTAAGTGATGAGTCAACCATATGGTTACTTTGTAATAATTCTTGGTCAAAAGAATTAATATAAAGTAACAGTAATGTCAAAGCTATTGTCTACTGTTATGTAATTTAATTTGTATTGTATTTTATTTTTTATTTAAATAAAAGGTAAATTGTATAAATTGTATAACTCTCGATCTCTATGAATCTCTTTCTAGACAGATAATGTTCTTTAAAATATAGTCAAGTTAATGTCATTAATTTGTTTTTTATATGTTTTAATCATGTTTTAGCACATGTAAGCTTATTAAATGTAAACGATTATTATGATATGTGATATACTTAGGATTGAGGATATCCGCAGTAGAACCAGAGTAACCAACATAGCCCAACGGATTAGTAAGCTGAAGTGGCAGTGGGCCAGCCATATAGCTCAAAGAACCGACAACCGATGGGGAAGAAAGGTTCTCGAGTGGCAGCCTCGTACCGGTAGGCGAAGTGTAGGGCGTCCCCCCACGAGATGGAGTGACGACCTGGTAAGACATGCAGGAAGTCGATGGATGCAGGTGGCTCAGGACCGTGCTTTGTGGCATTCTTTGGGGGAGGCCTATGTTCAGCAGTGGACTTGTGAAGGGCTGTAATGAATGAATGAATGAATTAAGAAACAGACTGACTCCCGTGGCCGTGGGACACGGTAGATTGCTCAGTTCGATCGCTTAGGTCGTGGGTTCAAATCCCACCCGGTGTCAGTTACTTTTTCGAGTTACTCAAGTTCATAATACAGTAACCTTGATATAAAGAGCCTCAATATAAGAGCTAAAGCAAAATATACCTTTACATTACGAAAACATTTATCAATAACCTCCTTATAAATAATTTTTAATCAATGCAGAATATAGATAGAAGATATTATTTACTTCCATTTAACGAATTTTGTCAACTTAAAACCTTGATATAACGTAATTTTTTTCATCCTCTTTTTTATGTGTATAAATCTTTCCTCTCGCTTTCTTTCAATCTGTGGGAGTGATTTCGTGAAAAGGGACGGAAGTGTGTCCCAGAAAGCCGGGGAAGCGCGCTATTTGATTTGACCAATGAGCGCGCGCGGAGAAGCCGGGGAAGCGGATGCTATTTGCTTTAATCAATGAGCGCGCGCTATTTGATTTGAGCAAGCAAGCGCGCTATTTTATTTGACCAATGAGCGTGCGCTATTTGATTTGAGCAATGAGCGCGGCACGGGCGGTGGTAGCGTTGGTCGTCAGAAGATGGTAATATTAATAAATAGTAGTATGACTGACTAAAGTAAGTTCGAAGAGAATTTTGAATGCTGTTAGAATTTTTGTATAATTACGTAAGTTGAAAATGAGAATTTTTGTTTGTAGAGATATTTCAATAATTTTAGTCTCAAAAGATAGGTTTAGGTGTAGAACTAATATTCCAATTAGAATTATGAAAATCGGATAACCCGTTTTTGTTCTAGAAATTTTATAGTTATTGTAGTTATATAAAATATTATTGTTTTATTTAAGAAAGCTATACATATACCTGTGATTATAATAATAAAGTTTAGTGGTGCAATTGTATTTATCATAAGTCTATTGTCTCCGCTCTCTCCCAAATTGAACAAAATAACTGTCTTCAATAAAATATTGCATTACTCTGAATCTGGATCTCTACAATCCAGAGACCTTTTTTACTGGAAACGAGGCAATCCAACTTTCAACGCTTCTGCATTTTAATACACCACAGCAATAGCATCCACTTAACATTAGGTAGACTGTGTGCTCGTTTGTCACCCTTATTCTATAGAAAGAAGTTATTTCATGACGGCGATGTCCTCTACAGCCTATATACGTCGCACTGCTGGGCACAGCACAGGCCTCTCATTTCTGAGTTATCGACGCCATTATATTCGTCTAATTATAGTTTATCAACACGTTGATAAACATCATTTTGATCTATGTAATACCAAAGCAACTACTGTTAAAGAGATCCTTGCAACACAATGGTTTCATTCCTTTAGTGACTTGAATACACATAAGTATTTCTCGAGATATTTCTACTGATTCGTTTTTAGAAAATATGTATGTGAAAACAAATTATTTTTTATTTTTTTACATAAATATCTAACCAATAAGCTGTTTGTTTTCCAAATAAAATAAAATAAGTCCTAATTTTGTGGTAAACTGCGAAAAGGACACAACAAACATGAACAATATCTATATATTATATTATATGACGATCCTCTTAGTGTAATTTTAATCAATACATATAATATTGCTGTGGATGGTTACTAAATATTACAAAGAAAAAGATAATTAAATCTTGTATAAATTGTAAATCTGATTTTGAATGCGAAAAAGTACTAAGAAGACGTCTATAAATTTCTTTTAAAAATATTCCGAATCTTCCTAGTTACATTATAACGTCCTCCAGATCGAATTTCACGACGACCAGTCTCAATGGAGCCTAGCCATCTGCACAGGATAAGATTATGGTGCCCGAGTGTATACGCGAACACATGTGCACTGTCTATTCCCTCACTCTCATAGTCCGATGGGATAGTAATCCGACACGACCGGAGAGAGATCATGCGCAGGTCCAATGGCCTTACGTGCTCTCCGAGAAACGGGACTGAAACACCGCCAAAGTTCTGACTCCGGGCTTCTACTGAGTATATTTCTAAATGATAGAAAAAACCCATGAACTGATTTTCGTCTGACCCGGAATTCAAATGCGGGATCACATGATCAGCAATCGCGCTTACAACCACTAGATCAAAATAGTCGGTCAACACATTATATTACATAGCCCACCAAAATAGTTGTAGCCTATTTTACAATAACGCTCTTTTATTTAACAATAGTTAGTCGACGGCTCTATGACCAAATCCCGCACGGAAGAAGTATTTGTATGGCCTACAAAAATAATTGTTCCGGGTCTGGATGTTTGTCCTTGTGAAATTCTGGTATTTAAACTGCCCCCACGATACAGGAGAAAATCCTAGTGTGGAGGTTACGTATTTCAAAAAAAGAAAAAATTTTGGCTTTTCTTTATCTTAGCACATATTATGAAAAATTATTATTCAATACCAATATAGATTTTAAGTTTCTTAAAATTACATGCTTATAATGTAAAAAAGGGTTCATACAACATTATGTAAAGGAAATTTATAATATATTACTGGGAAAATTAATAAATACTAACAAAAGGGATGGGTATAAATTATAGACATAATAAGTGTTAGAATTATAATAAAAATTTGTACGTTTTACGATCACTGTATAAAGTGTATAAACTTTATAGCAACGTAGGTTTATCATGTAAGTGAATGTTTTAATTTCTTTGAGAAATAAATGACTTTAAATGCGTAAGTTCAATATTAATATTTGAGATCCGCCCCAACTTCACACGGGTGATTCCTCGATCCCTACAACAGCGCCACTTCTCAATTCAATGTCATTGTGCTTCAACTTTTCAATTAAATGACATGGCAAAGACAAAATGCTAGAGCAAGTCCAAGAAGTTGCAGCCATCTCAACAGAGCCACCTTCTACAACACCACTATCTCTACCCTCAGCTACAATAACTCAGCCCGATACACAGTTACTTATCGATGAGATAAGAAAGCTATCATTAGAGATCGCAGAGCTCAAAGCTAGACCTCATGCTTACCATGCCACCACCGTCAGCGTTTCCGTTCCCGTCAGCGAAGTTCTACACGTCAACAATCTCGATCGCCTGCAACGTTACCATCACCGATTTGCTATTACCATCACCGATTCAAGAGCTAAGCAGATGCTGTACAAAACCGTGCAGTTATACTAAACTAGCGGAAAACTAAATGGAACGCTAGCTGAGGCGTTCACAACAGGTCATAGCCGACGTTCGCAACAGGTCCTTACGCCTATTCGTCACCTAGAAGAAGACGAAATACTCTTTCTTCATAGATACCGGAGCAAATATATCCGTCCTACCTCGAAACCCAGGCCAGAAATCAATGCCACCACCATTCAAGCTATATGCAGCGAATAATATAACGATATCTACATATGGCGAGAAACCATTGGAACTAGACCATAACTTACGCCGCCCGTATAAATGGAAGTTCATTGTAGGTGAGGTCTCAAAGCCCATATTAAGAGTCCATTTTTTAAATCACCATCAATTAATAGTAGATCTGAAAAATCGAACATTAATTGACGCAGTCACAAATCTCAAGATCAACACTCCACTCAGTTCTACAGATATAACTACCGTACGATCGTATCGATATCAGCAGAAACTACCACGACATTTAAACTGAATTCCCCGGTATAACACGAATAACGTCAATGCAGCTGAACATTTTATTGAAACACAGGGGAACCAGGGGTATTGCAGATGCGTTGCCGGCCTTTTAAAAAGGAGTAGGCTTTTTTCTTGAAGGTCCCTAAGTTGTATCGGTCCAGAAAAATCGCTGCTGGTAAACTATTCCACAAGGAAGTTGTGCGAGGAAGAAAACGTCTTCTAAATCGCACAGTGGTGGACCGCCAATCATCCAGATGGTGTGGATGGTATCGGGAGTTCTGCCGCGATGTGCGTTCGTGAAATTTAGCGGCTGGGACAAACAATCCGAACAATTCCTCAGAGCACTCCCCGTGGTAAATACAAAAGAAAATGCAAAGGGATGCAACATCTCTTCGCAGCGCCAACGAATCGAGCCGATCGGAAAGGACTTGGTCGTCGACGATTCGAGCTGCTCTGCACTGGATGCGGTCAAGTGGTAGGAGCTGGCACTGGGGTGCCCCAGCCCAGAGATGGGAACAGTATTCCATGTGAGGCCGAACCTGCGCCTTGTAAAGTTGCAGACGTTGTGCCGGCATGAAATACTGTTCCGCTCTGCTGAGCACGCCAAGCTTTTTAGAGGCCAATTTGGCCTTCTCTTCCAAGTGACCACGAAACTGCACGTCACTCAATATGTTGACGCCGAGGATTCCGATACTGGCTGAGGCAACAAGGGGAGTGCCTTGAAACTGAGGAGATACGATAAAACGGTTCTTTTTAGCGGTAAACGTGCAAACTTGTGTCTTCTGAGGATTAAACTGGACTAGATTTAGTCGCCCCCAATCCGAGACTTTGTTACTTTGTTTGTAGCAAACTACATCTGATGGCCAACTCTATTACAAATAGCACTCGCTTCCCTGGCTTCCCCGCGCGCACTCATTGGTCAAATCAAATAGCGCGCGCTTCCCCGGCTTCCTGTTACACATTTCCGTTCCTTTTCACGAAATCACCCCCACAGGTTCTAGGAAAGAGAGAGGAAAGATGTTACATATCAAAAAGCAATTTAATTTTAATCAAAATGCAACAAATAAACAAGATTTTGCAAATTGTTATAATATTGCTGGAATCAAATGTTCTCTTTATAATGATGATCTTGGCATTTACAATTGCAAAACATTTTTTACAATGTCAAATGGAATTAAATTGTAAACCACCAACAAATTTAAACTTTGCATAAATTGTTTATTTAGCCATAACGGAAATCCATGTATTTCAACACAGAAGTACCGCAAATGCTTGTATAATACTCTATTACATGACGCATGTACAAAGTCATTATCCGGCTCAAAAGATTATAAAATGCTTGAGTATTGGACGAATGTTCACTAATAATTTAAAGTTTATGTTAAAACAATTTATTAGACAAGTGAAAAATATAAGATTAAAATATGTTGAATAATGTTAATGTTATTATAAGTTATGTTAATGAGTTTGCATCCGTCACATTTAAGGTGAATACGTGAACTCACACAATTTTTATAATTGTCAAACTATAGCGATTGCTTTGCGTAAAATGTTAACGCCGTTAGAAATACACGATTGCAACGCACAAGCACAGACTATAATGTTAAATAAAACTGGCCGGATCGAGCAACTTAGCGAACTCGGTCACTCGGTCGTTTTTCGGTCGACACCATATTATAACCATTTTCATTCCACAGCTCCGTGGCGCAGTGACTTTAGACATGCCTCTGTCACTCTTGCTACCTACGTGAAATAATTACCTATAATCGCGAGCTGCCGCAGGGGTATATCGCAGTCGGGGCTATGCTATGGGCGTGCTCTAGGCGATAGAATGTTAAAGTTTAACGCTATTTACGTAAATAATTTTTTGTAAATACTTGTTGAAATACCCTTCAAAATAGTTTTTGTTTAGTGTTTAGTATATCTAATTGTAGGATAAAATAGTTGAAAAAGTTTTAATGTAATTTAAGAATAATATATATGTATATTACCTATCTATTTGATTTCTTCTTTTTATAGGATAGGGTCACAAACGAGCACACAGTCCACCTGATGGTAAGTGGTTGCTGTGGCCCATAGACATCTACATCTATCCTCGTTTGCGAATCAAGATGCAGATGCGTTGTCATCCGTGAGGACTAAGATGGAATACCTCTTTTCCAGTAAAAAGGGTCTCCGGTTCTCTACACTCACCATACGAAACACAGCAGCATTAAGCTGCTATTTTACGCTGGTATTCTGTGAGAGCGTGGTCCTTCCCCGGTCGAGCCGACCCATTCGTGCTACAACTATACCCGAAATATAGCTGCAGCATGACTCTACCACGTACAAAAATAAATTATAATGGCAAAAAGTCGTTCCTACTATAATTGTTGCGGGGATGGATGCTTAGTGAGCAATTAAAAGGATTCAGATATATCATTTTTTAAGTTACCGAAGGATAATGAAAGGTAAATTTATTTCATTTTTTTGTTAGATAGGTACTTATAGCGAAAAAATAATTAAATAATAATTTAACTACAGAAGTAATACCTTAGTACATTATTACAAAACTTAGTTGAAATTTACTTCACTACCCAAGTACCTACTCACCTATACCCACAAACTAGTAAGAAGTGCTAGCCTATACCTATACCCATACTCGTCTTTGTAATTAAAATATTTTGAGGACAAAATACTGAAATTAAATCTTTGTTTACAAGATTTTTAACTAAGTAGATTACGATCATATTTCTGTTAGGAATCGTATTTCGGGTTTATTTGTTGTTTACGCTATCTACCTATACGAACCAAGTATCGCAATTCTCGACGAATGGCCTTGCAAGTTGCATACGTTGGGCATCACAGAACTCATATAGTAGATTATATGGTCGATTATAGTCAGCATAGGTACTTTACCTAAGTAACTTATCATTTCACAATGTATTTTTTACTCTTTATTAACAACCCTTAGCAACCACGGAAAGTCCGTTGTGACGTAGTAAGGAGAAAAGATGCAAAGTAATACGGACACTCGCGCGCAGCGATAAAGTTTTATTTAGCTTGCGTGCGCGATTTATCTGATTAATAACAACTATGTAGGCTATTAAAAGCAGTCAGTATCAAAAGAGTGCAACTTCTGTATATTTATTCTGTTCTTTAGCATTGAATTGTTGCGCACAGGGCCGCGGTACGGGTTCGGAAACCGCATGGGATAAGTATTTGTGTGGCCTACAAATAATTGTTCTGGTTCTGAATGTTTGTGCAATTTATATATTATGTAAGCGGCGTCAACAATACAGGAGAAAATCGTAGTGTAGGGGGTAACGTTGTTTTTTAAACAAAATCACTTCACAACAGAGCAATATGTGATCAATAAATTTATATTTAGCCTATTATTTGTTTTTTTTATTTAATCTCAGTTTCCTCTACCATCTTGAAATCATCAATATGTGAACATAATTTTTTTTATTAACAGTATTTGTTTTGCACACATATTATGATGTCTTTGTGACACACATACATTTGTTCAAAGATCTTTCTCCATGTATGTAATTATAATTTGATTCCTAACGACGCCATTACTTATGAGTTTTGAACGCAACCAAATCTAAGATTAAAGTTTTTCGAACGTTACTGTTGCGGCGGTTTGACAGGTCAGCCTCGAGCCTCTTTTTAGCTTCTCGAGTAGTGTATTTTAATTTCATTTTGTATTTTTGATATATTTACGCAATATATTTGATATTTATGTAGTCATGATGGTAGAATAGTTTGTATTTTAGAATTTTTCTAAGTGCACTTACAGTGTTACATAAACAGCAGATTATAAATCGTGTCGGCAAGCCTTGTGTATATACCTAGGCGATACGTCAGTAAATGAATGTTGGCTTTAGATAATGGATGTGGATGCACCTAACATATTGAAAAGGTGCAGCAGCGCACCTCTTATCAATGAGGCAGCTTCTACCGCAGTTACATCGCCCACTACGAACACAGCGCCCAGGTAAAGTAGTTGTTGCCTCCCACAGGATCGAATTGTGTCGTTATATTACCTATTTTTGACAGCTGCTTAGGTTGCTAATATAGTGCTATAGCCGTATTTAGAATTTCGTTTACATGTTATTAAATTTTTTGTGTGGCTATACTAGCAATAGATATTTTTCATTATTTTTCTACTTACAAGCATTAGTATGGCAGCTTGTTTAAATTGCACACGGTTTTTCTTTTTTATGGAAGTAAGCAGAAATATTTTTTGTTTACCCTTTGTTATTTCTTAACATGAAAATACACATTGTTATGTAAATAAAGCATAAAGCTTAAGTAAACAGTGTAATATATGTATGTATTGTTTTTATTAAAGACATTAATTCAAATGTCATAGGTAAATATTTATTAATGACTTTTGTTGTGTAAATTGGATTTTAATATTTATGAGGTAGGTTAATTAACTTTAAAATAAAAAATTTAAATTTGATAATAATCAGGGTAAAAATATTTTGATGTTGAGAAACATGCATCTTAATTTTATATTTTGGAATATTAACTAAAGAAATAATATTATCTTAATTTTATTATTCAAAGTTAATTTAGAGTATATGTACAATTTCTAATTTCAATGAATTTTACCCTTCACAAAGAATCTAATAATTATGTCAATGATATTTCAGTTCTTCATAATTTACATAATATTTACATACAAAGAGTAAGTGCATAGAAATAAACTATATTAATATAGCCTCAAAGAAAAGTGTTTCTTTACTGATAATAATTAGTACCAAAACATTTTTGTTTCTTCAATTTCACTTCAAAATTCACAAGCCATATAGCTAGAAGAACCCACTACCAATGTGGAAGAAAGGGTCTTAATGGGTAGTTTCCTCCTGGTAAAAGTGCAGTGTATGGTAACCCCCACTAGATAAAGTGACAATATGATGAAACACACAAGGTTGTCCATGATTGCAGGAGCCTCAGGATTGTACTTTTTAGCAATTTATGGGAGAAGCCTATGTACAACTGTGGACTTGAAATGAGCTGTAGTGATAGTGTGATTATATGTAAAAGTTTCTGAATCACAATACTTAATGACCATTTTCAAAACTCAAAAAATTTTGAAATTGCTTATTTTACTAATTATCGGACTAAAATGCATGTGTGATAATTTAAAATTAAAAATTTTGTACAGCCGACTTCAATATAAGTTATTTAAGAATAACTCAAAAACTATGGATCTGACCTTGATCAAATTCATATGGGACCACACGAGAAGTATCAGCTTTCATATAAAAAAAGAATTATCGAAATCGGTTCACCCAGTACAAAGTTACGAGGTAACACAAAAAAACATACAGTCGAATTGAGTACCGTCTCCTTTTTGGAAGTCGGCAGGAAAAAGGAAAATGGTTGTATCTACAAAATTAGTAAGTCTTGTCTGAGAACACATTCAGTAGATACAAAAAAGTATTGGCCTGTAAAATAAATACTTGTCATTGCATATTAGACGGTGCAAATAAAAGATGTGATAACACTCCTTGAAATGCTAATCTAGATATTTTAAAGTTTTTCTAAATTAGCTATGTACTGGTAAAAAATGATAACACAATAACATTCAAAATAAATCCAAATGAAGAACTGAATGTTGACAGTCCCTGCTTAGCCAGCCTACTCCCAACAGAATTGCATTCTGAATTTATTGAATTTTATCTATATTCAATATGTGGGTCAAGATTGAGTTTTCTATTGGAAACTTATATGTACAGTGGTAGTCTTGTGGCAGTGATAATCTTTATATATAAAAATTACGTGTCACATTGTTTGTCCGCGATTGACTCCGAAACTACTGAACTGTTTTCAATGAAATCTTGCACACTGTGTGCATTTTGGTCCAACTTGAGAGATAGGATAGTTTTTATTCCGCTAAATGACACTCAAAATATTTTATTGCGAATTTAAGGATTTTTATAGAAAGGGTCGTTGGAAAGGGCAGAACAACGTCTGCCTGGTAAGCTAGTATAGATATAGTTTTCACATATATTTTTAACTGAAGTGAGAAGGATAAATGACCACACAGTTAACTTAAGCAACTGTTCTATATTAAACAGACCCTTATATTTAAATATATGACAACTATAGTGATATGATAACCTAACTAATTGTGCCATGGGGTTTTGAATTTTTTTTGACAGTTGAATAGTAAGGGAGAAGTGTTTCTGGCCTTTGGCAGCAGATTTAAATGGCATTGTAAATAGGAAAACATTTTGAGAATGAAAGACAGCCCCCTGCCTTATCTTTTTAAAAGATGCCGGTAAAAATTTAAAAAAAATGTGAGAATTTTTTTTATAGGATAGGGTGACAAATGAACACACAGTCCACCTGTAAGTCGTTGCTGTGGCCCATAGACATCTACATTTATCCACGTTTGCGAATCAAAATGCCAATGCGTTGTCACCCGTGAGGACTAAGATGGAATGCCTCTTTTCCAGTAAAAAGGATCTCCAGTTCTCTACACTCACCATACGAAACACAGCAGCGTTAAGTTGCTATCTTATGCTGGTATTCTGTGAGAGCGTGGTCCTGGCCCGGTCGAACCGACCCATTTGTGCTACAACTATACTACTAATATAGCTGCAGCATGGCTCTACCACGTTTGAAATTCATGTTGTTACTGTATATTTTAGATAAGAATATTATAAATATTTGATAAGAACGTAATGTATTATTTTAACTGATTGTCATTCATAAATATCCTACGCTTACTATTTGCCTACACACACACACACACACACACACACACACACACACACACACACACACACACACACACACACACACATTTGTAAGGATCGCTCGGTCAGCAAAAAGTGAGTACGCGTAGTTGTTGCCCACAAATCACATCCAATTTGGGATAATTTCAAATAAAAGTAGAAGCCTTATTACATGTGTTCTCAAAAAATGTAATATTGGTATATTATTATTTATATATTTGACTTCAGTATAAAATTTGGCTACTCTGAAAAATAGTCCTGTATACAACATACTGTGACAAGAATTTAGTACCATTACAAGCTTATAAACTTTGTCCATTCCTTATTTCAATAAACAATTAAAGAATAACAATAACATGTTTAGATTTTTCATGTTATTGTTGTGTTAGAACCAAGTCCATTGGCTAAAGGAAACATGTAAGTGTTTTGTAAGTAGTGTTATGTGGTAAAAGTTAGCATATTGCTGCAGGATTTCTGCAATTGTAAGATTTACGAGACCTGTTTATGATGTGAAAACTTCTTTAGAATTGTTGTGATTTAAAACTCGATGAAATGGAAAAGCGACAAAAATATACCGAGAATGAGATAGAATACAGAATACAATATTTCCTATTATGTACAGAGATTTTGCACGTGATCTATGAGTAGTAAGGATTAAGGACGAAATTTGTTGATTCGAAAATATTTTAGTATTTACAATGTTGAAATTGAAAACTGAGTCTATAATTATATGTAATGTAATATATTTAGAATTAAATGTAAAAAAGTTTTTAATCTAAGTGTACAATATTATAATAAACTAGCTGTTCCCCGTGACTTCGCCCGCGTGTAATTTAGGGTTTTAATTATGTTGCGTGGAACCCTAATTCTTTCTCTAAAATATAAGTAACCTAAGTTACTTCTTATAACATCAGCTATCTGCCAGTGAAAGTCCCGTCGAAATCGGTCCAGCCGTTTCGGAGATTAGCCGGAACAAACAAACAGACAGACAGACAGACAAAAATTTTAAAATTGTGATTTTGTTATAAGTACCGTATATACTTTCATATGCATTTAGTAAAAAGCTGCTATTTTGATATTACAAACAGACACTTCAATTTTATTTATTTGTATAGATAAACCCTACAATTAACTCCTGATACTCTGCATTCATCTCATTCTCTTGATAGTTTAGTTATATGAAGCTTTCACTTCTAGCGCGTGTGACTTGCACACATGTTTATTTTCCTGTGGAATTTATGCTAGTTTATGTTGAGGCAATGTAAGCTGTGATTGCTAATGCTATATAGTATACCAAAAGTTGAACGTATCGCCATCACAAATTGGTTTTCTGATAACTTAGTATCACTAATAGATAGATAATATGTATTGTAATTGATATTTATGGATATAGATATGTCTCGTTTTTTGTTTGAGGTAGTTTTTTGTTTTACATAATTTATTATGCTTTGATAATTTGTTTTACGGATAATTTGATTTCTATGGTCCTGCTGTTATACAAGGAGCCTCTATAATGTTTTTAGCTACCTCACTAACCTAATGTGTCACCAAATAAGAAAATATATTTGTATGGCCTACAAATAATTGTTCCGGGTCTGGATGTTTGTCCCTGTGCAATTTGTATTTGTAAACTGCCTCGACGATACAGGAAAAAATCTAGTGTGGGGGTAACGCTTTTTAAATAAAAAAGAAAGTATAGTAAGAATATTCCTTCAATATAGAAAATCACAATTATTATAACGTAGAAAGTGTCACAATATCTTTTTTATGACCATTCAACTACTGTCTGTATTTTAGACTAGCTGTCCCCCGCGACTTCGCCCGCGTGTTATTTTTTTTTTTTTTTTTTTTTTTTATAGGAGAGGGGGCAAACGAGCATGCGGCTCACCTGATGGTAAGTGACTACCGCCGCCCATGAACAACCGCAACACCAGGGGAATTGCAGATGCGTTGCCGGCCTTTTAAAAAGGAGTAGGCTCTTTTCTTGAAGGTCCCTAAGTCATATCGGTCCGGAAAAATCGCTGGTGGTAAACTATTCCACAAGGAAGTTGTGCGAGGAAGAAAACATCTTCTAAATCGCACAGTGGTGGACCGCCAATCATCCAGATGGTGTGGATGGTATCGGGAGTTCTGCCGCGATGTGCGTTCGTGAAATTTGGCGGCTGGGATTAATCCGAACAATTCCTCAGAGCACTCCCCATGGTAGATGCGAAAGAAAATGCAAAGAGATGCAACATCTCTTCGCAGTGCCAATGAATCGAGCCGATCGGAAAGGGCTCGGTCGTCGACGATTCGAGCCGCTCTGCGCTGGATGCGGTCAAGTGGAAGGAGCTGGCACTGGGGAGCCCCTGCCCAGATTGTTTGGACTTTTAATTTTTTTGTGCGGAACCCTAATTCTTTTTCTTAAATCAAAGTAGGCTAAGTTGCTCCTTGTGACATCAGCTATCTGCCAGTGAAAATCCCATCAAAATCGGTCCAGCCGTTTCGGAGATTAGCCGGAACAGACAGACAGATGGACAGCCAGACGGACAGACAGACAGATAGACTAAAATTTTATTTTTGTTATTAGTACCGTATATACTTTCATATGCATTTAGTAAAAAGCTGTAATTTTGACATTACAAACAGACTTCAATTTTATTTATTTGTATAGAATATAGATGACCGCCTCATTGGTCTAATGGTCTTAAATGCGACTGCTGATCATGAGGTCTCGGGTTAAAATCCCGGGGCGGGCCAAAAGATTAGTTATTGAGTTTTTCTGTTTAAAAATTCTCAGTAGCAGCCTGGAGTCAGAAAGTTGGATTTGTTCCACCCCCGAGCTTGGAAAGGACAAAACTGTTCTCTTGCCTTTTTGCATCTGAACTCTGATTGTTTGTATTACTGTCCCATTGGACTTTGATAATTAGAGAATAGACAATACACCTGTGCTTGCTCATACACATGGGCACTATAGTCCTGTCCTGCGTAAATGGCCAGAAGAATGACCAATGATTGAAATGTGATCTACAGGACATGACAAAATTTACTATGATTATGGGAATTTTGCAAACATTGATAACTTCACCATCTATTTTTCATTCAGCCATTTCATACAGCCTATTAAAAGTACACATTTCCAAGTCCAAGTTCCAATACACATTATGTCAACAAGCTGTGACCAAACATACCTTAATTTCAAAAATTCAACTACGATGCATTCTACCCTGTATCATTAATCCCACCATCTACTATTTTTGCAAATACAATAAACATACAGTTAGGAAAAATTTATAATTTTATTTTTTGTGTAAGGCACTTAAGTAATTGCTATGATACGCACAAAACGCACCTGCAACACATTATTTCCACAAGAATTTAAGCTCTTTATAGCCCAAATAATTAATTAATATAAAAAAATAAAAATAAACTTTTTAAGTTCAGCACATATCATAAAGAAATAAGGATGATTTAGCCATACTATGCAGGTTGCACAGCTGATACCCATATTTTGGTAATCCTGCTCTCTATCACCAGTCTTAAAATTTGGTCTATATATCGGTCGCCGGAGCCTTGTGTATCCTCATGTCCTTTGGCACTCCTCATGCAAGTGAGATTGACACTCGGAGAGATAGTTTACAAAGTACATCTCATAATTTGCTAGTAGTTCAACTCGATTTGTTCACAACTTAGTGGCTTGTTTATTGTAACACTGTAGTAAGGACCGAACATTGTGATAGACTGGAGCCATTACATGAGACATGAGTTACAAGTGACAAATAGTTGTTTTCATATACGTTGTGATAAGACGGTCTGTTTTTTATTTTTAATATTATACCCTTTTATCTACCCTATTGACGATCACTCCGTGGCACAGTGGTTTGGCAATGAGTTACGGCGTTAAGGGCCGCGGATTCGAATCCCGCACGGAACAAGAATTTGTATGGCCTACAAGTAATTGCTCCGGGTCTGGATGTTTGCCCTTGTGCAATTTATGTATTTAAACTGCCTAAAAATTAAGTATTATACTTGACTACTATCCTAAATCGATCGTTAGTTGTGTTGTAGTTCTGACAACCTATTCACTCTTGTCTTGTCTTGTCCGAATTGTTATTAGATGGAAAGACAGCCGCTGGTAAGTTATTCCATACCTTTACAGACAACGAAGCATAAATTATTTGGTTCGAATATGTGGCTCGCCCCGACGACGGAAGGCACAGGGAGGGATTCATTTATTTCATAATTCTTGTACCGTTACCGTTACAGCCTATTATAGTCCACTGCTGAATATAGGCCTCCTCCATAGATTGCCTGATAGGGAAGATATTTGCCATAGTTGCCACGCTTGGTAAGCGGATTGACAACCGCAGTTCTTTTTTTTGTTATTAGGAAAAAGCTACTGCCCATCTCCTGATTTGCTTCCCTCTGTCGACTCTTTCGACACTCATGGGGTAATATATATTTTTAGACCGCCACTATTTGTAATTCTTGTACAATAAAAAATAATTTCTTGTACAAGAATTACAAATAGTGTCAACGCTTACTTCTTTGAAATGTTACTTTGCAATATAAAATAGATATAATAAATACATAAGTGTAATTTGTCAAACTGAGAGTTATTATATATATTGTTACAGGAGCACGTCATTCTTCAGCATGTTCTCGAACAATAACCTGTCGCGTACACGCAGGCATAGCGGCAGCTCAAGTCCACTATCGGCACCGATCAATTTGTCTGTAAGTACCTATTAAATGTACTAATTATTAAGCATTGGCGGGGATCCCGCCCCGGCTTCGCACGGTTAATTTCTGGATCTCGACAACAACGCCACTTATTGGGTCCAAATGCGAATCTAAACCATTCTCTAATCAACTTAATCACACACAAAATGTTATCAAAATCGGTCCAGCCATTTAGGAACAGTTCAGTCACATATCTAAATACGGACAGTAGATTTATATAATATATAATATGCATGTATTATACATACAAACCTTCCTCTGGAATCATTCTGTCTATTGATGAAAACTGCATCAAAATCCGTTGCGTAAAAGATTTAAGCATACAGACGGCGGGAAGTGATTTTGTTTTATACAATGTATTGAGTTAAGCAAGTAGACGTTGAACGAATTAGTTTAGGGGTCTATATCGTCATTTTTCCTCGAGATATGCGAGATGAAAAATTTAATAACATTTGGATGTAGGTTCGTACGTTTAAAAATCGGATCTGTTACCACTATTTCCATATAGGAAGTTAATAGTTAGTAGGACTTGTTATCTATTGCTGCCGCCATGTGGCAGTGCATAGTATACGTTACATGTTCCGTTCTGAAAGATATGAAGAGGAAGAGGCAGTATATTTACAAGATTTTATAATCAGCATAAAAATAAAATTTCTAGTTTCGAATCAATCAACATACAAAATACATGTAACAGAATATGTTTTCTCATTAATATAATGTAAAAATTGTTTTATATACAATTTAGAAAAACACTATTTTTACTCTACTGACCTCTAATCCGCTCCACTCCAGATGGTCTTGTTGAAAGCCTCTATGACGCCACGTTTCTTGACGGGTAACGCACTATGTAGATAGACGCTTCATTGCAATCCAACTTTCCGCTCCTCGGCTGAAGTCTTCACACAGTCTTCAGTAGCGACCCACCACTGATTTCTACTGCGTTGATAGCAAAAGTGGATAGAAAGCGTTGTTATTTCGTTTTTTTTTTTTGTTATTTATCCACCTTACCACAGAGTTGCTATTTTACCCGGCTCGAAGGACCATGTAAAATATCTCTACTATACCGACCCGTGACTTAGAGGTTTAAATAAAACCACAACTAATAATGCAACTACTAAATATATATTTCTCCCTGGCACACAGGACACATTAATAACAATAAAAAAACATTTTAAAACTATATATACACATTTAAAAGTATCTTTGATAGCACGGTTTCATTTTACGCAGTAACATCTACAAAAATCAATTTACCACTATGTCTTGCGTATGTGGACTATGAAAAAGCATTTGATTCCGTCGAAATTTGGGCGGTGCTGTAGTCCCTTCGGCGGTGCCAAGTGGACTGTCGGTATATCAAAGCGCTGAAGTGCTTGTACAGTAGGGCTTTGTGGCTATCCGAGTACATAACCAGAGTACGAAACCAATCCAACTGCAGAGAGGTGTAAGAATCTTCACCGCTGCATTGGAAGACGTTTTCAAGCTACTGGACCGGAAAGGATACGGTATTAATATCAGTGGCGAGTACATCACTCACCTTCGATTTGCCGACGATATGGTCCATATGGCAGAAACGCTGGAGGATTTAAGCACTATGCACAATGAACTCAATAGTGCCTCCCCGCGGATAGGTCTTAAGATGAATATCGACAAAACAAAGATCATGTGTAACGTCCATATCACACCTAAGCCACTAGTTGTTGGGAGCACTAAAGTCGAAGTTGTTGACGAGTATATTTACCTGGGACAAATAGTCCGACTAGGTAAGTCCAACTTCGACCGAGAAGTCAACCTACGGATTTAACTCAGTCAAGCAGCGTTTGGGAAATTACGACACATCTTCTCATCAGGTATACCTAAAAACTTGAAAACGAGATTATACAATCAGTGCGTTTTGCCAGTGATGACTTATGGATCTTAGACGTGGTCCTTCACTGCTGGCCGTATGAGGAAACTCGGGTTTTCTCTGCGTAATAATCTTAGAAATGAGAATATCCGCAGTAGAACCAGAGGGACCGACACTCCAACGGATTAGTAAGCTGAAGTGCCAATGCGGCGGCTATATAGCTCTAAGAACCGACAACCGATGGAGTGACGACCTGGTTAAGACATGCAGGAAGTCGATGGATGTGGGTGGCTCACGACCGTGCTTTGTGGCATTCCTTGGGGGAGGCCTACGTTCAGCAGTGAACTTGTGAAGGGCTGTAATGATGATGTAAGATATATATACATATATATGTAAGATAGTTTAAAGAACTTTAAAGATCTGTGGATTTTGTAAAATAAATAAAATAAAATAAAAATAAATGTAACGGCGTACCGTGTGGGTGTGGGTGCAGAGCGTGTGGGGGCGGCGCATGACGCCGCGCGTGAGCCAGCTGCGCGCGGAGGAGTGCGCGGACGTGAGCAACACGCGCGAGGTGGCGCACGAGCGCGAGGTGCACTCCGCCATGCAGATGGGCCAGTCGTGCGAGGACCTCACGCTCGTCGCCGGCATCGCGCACTCGCCCACCAGGCTGGCCAGGTTAGTGAAGTAACGTGTGGGCTCGGGTACAGAGCCAGCGCGCGGAGTGCGCGGACGTGAGCAACACGCGCGAGGTGGCGCACGAGCGCGAGGTGCACTCCGCCATGCAGATGGGCCAGTCGTGCGAGGACCTCACGCTCGTCGCCGGCATCGCGCACTCGCCCACCAGGCTGGCCAGGTTAGTGAAGTAACGTGTGGGCTCGGGTACAGAGCGTATGCGTGAGCCAGCGCGCGGAGTGCGCGGACGTGAGCAACACGCGCGAGGTGGCGCACGAGCGCGAGGTGCACTCCGCCATGCAGATGGGCCAGTCGTGCGAGGACCTCACGCTCGTCGCCGGCATCGCGCACTCGCCCACCCGCCTGGCCAGGTAATGAACACACGTATTTACACACATTAAACGTCACATCACTTGAATCATTATCATCATTGCAGTTATTCATACATTGTTTTAGTTACAAAACAAGAAACTACTACTGTGGGGGAAGAAAATATTTCTATGGGGTAGTATTATGATTAGTACTATAGTAGTATTTTCTTCTGTATAGTGGAGGCAGTTAACGTACATAAATTGCACAGGAACAAACATCTAGACCATTCATCATTATCCCATAAAAATTAGTAATCGTTTTTTTTATATAATAATGGTGACAATCGAATACACAGTCCACCTGATGTTAAGTGAATATCGTGGCTAGGGTTCCCAACCCGGTAATAATGGTTAATCTGCCGACCTCCCGAGGTGCAATAATTTTTTCGGTTTTTCTAAAAATTATACGCACCCGTCGTTCGCACGTGTCGATTCGGCGGTGTCTTTCTCTGTCACGCACGCCACGTGCGCCTCGCGTGTTGCAGACAGACACGGCTGAATACGGTACTTCCCCAACTTCACAAACTGCTTGAAAGCAAAGTAAATATACATTTAAAAATTAATAAATGATTGAGATTTTCTTTCACCCCCTCGCTCTACGCGTTTTAATAAAATTCTCCCGAGTCGATCCTTTCGGGAGTTGGTAACCCTACTCATGGCCCATAGAAATTTACAACTACCCTCACTGAAGAAGCGAAATGCGTTGTCACTTCTTTCCATTTAAAAATCTCCAGTATATACAATATATAATAATAAATATAATTAAATGTAGCTTTATTATGCAGTTCGTCTTTTTTAAGCAAAATTATAATCACATTTTTACAACCTTACGAGGGCGGCACTGAAAATTTCGGGAATCAAGGACTACACAACATTACTATTTAAAAATGTATTTATTGCTTTTCGAAGTATTCTCCGCGAAATTTGACACATTTTTCCATACGATGGAACCAATCATTGAAGCAACCATTCCATTCGGAAGTTGGGGTCTCCAAAATGGCTGTTTTGTAGGCGTCCACAGCTTCTTCAGGTGATGAAAATCTCTGTCCACGCAATTTATTCTTTATTTTAGGGAAAGTATAGAAATCATTAGGGCTTAGGTCGGGGCTGTACGGCGGATGGTCTAATAATACTATGTTTTCTTGCTCTAAAAACTCTTTTGTTCTATGTGCGGTGTGAGAACTCGCGTTGTCGTGATGGAGGATGATGCGGCGGTTGCAGTTCTCTTTACGGAGTTCAGAAACGACTTGTGGCAAACAAATGCTAGCATACCATTCTGCATTAACCGTTCTTTGTCCCTCAAGAGGAATAGTCGTAACATGGCCGGTTTTGGAGACAAACATGGCCACCATTTTTTTTTTGCAACACTGCGTGAACGAGCAATTTTTGTTGGCTTTAACTCATTTTCGAACACCCAAACTCGTGACTGGTTTTTTTGTTTCGGGTTCGTACGCGTATACCCAGGATTCGTCACCTGATACGATGTTGTATACACCATTTGAGGATCCTGCATGTAATCTTTCGAGAGTTCTGACGCACCAAGTAACGCGAGCCGCTTTTTGCTCTTCACGGAGCGAATGCGGTATCCATCGGGAAAACAACTTTTTTACACCTAATTGTTCATGCAAGATTATTTGTATTTAACTCATGCCAATGTCTAAAGTTGCCTGAATTTCGCGGTATGTCACATGTCGATCTTCCTCAATCAGCTTACGCATAGCATCAACGTTTTCTTGGGTGACTGCAGTTTTTGGACGACCTTGACGGGGATCATCACTGAGCTTGACACGTCCACGTTGAAATTCAGCAAAACAGCGATAAATTGTGGTTTTGGATGGGGCTTCATCACGAAATACAGAAATCATCCGGTCAACATACTGTTTTTGTGTTAAACCACTTCGAAAGTCATAATAAATCATCGCTCTTGAATTTTCTTGAGTCAATTCCATTTTCACAACGACTAAACAAGTTTGATAAAACCTTGTGGCAAGATCGAGAATCTTTTTTTAAATAAATAAATGGTATTCGATTTTTAAAACCAAGGGGTTTTCAATTAAAAAGATTTTAATATGACAGGAACAGTGGAAATATTCTATTCCCGATACTTTTAGTGCAGCCCTCGTAATAATCTCTGCTAACAGATCGGAGGCGTAACGTGGACTAATATAAACGTGACTCTTTTTTTCGTTCCCAAGATCTATCCTACTAAACATGATTTGACACGACATACCTACTCATAGCTATTAATTCCTGACTTCGCAGTCGCACTTTAAAGGGGCTTCTTGCGAGACCTCGAACAAACACGCTTTTAAATTTGTGACGTTCTTTTCCGATCTACGATCGGAGAGTGATCAAATTAATTAGTCATCTGTGGTCGAGTCTGAGGGCATCGCATTTGAAGGGGCCTCGTGAGGCCGTGAGCGAGGGTCCACTTCGCCCACGCCTTAGTTACGCCACTGTAACAGATTAATTCTATTTATCCGCTTTTTGTATAATCTTAATATCCGCAAATATGTTGTATAATTGTTTGTTATTTTATAACAAACTGCACCGAAACTTAAATTCTATTACTTAAATTAAAATTCATAATACAATATGCTTTTAACAATGGTTTCGAAAAAATCTTCTCTGGGATGAACCAGGAAGTAAACTAGCAGGACTTCTTTTTTAATTATTATTAATGTTCCCGTTAACAACTCAAAGTATTTAAGCTTACTAAGTATTAATGCTTGTGTTAGAAGTAGTTCATTACAATAGTCGAATGGTGATCCTTTCGGGTTTACAGTCCGCACCGATAACCATTAGGTTACTGTCGCTTCAGCTAATAAAATAAATAATGGCATACATAACATCATTTCCAGATTCTCACCAGTCGTATCCCCATCACCCACGCGGAAGTACACTACACGGCGGAGTCTCTCGCCCATTGCAATCAGAGCGGCCACCCTCAGTCCAGTCAGCCGACCAAATGTCCTCATCGGGAAGCGACGGTGTGACGAAGGGGATTCACCACTTTCAAAGCGCATTTGCACTGACAGACTAACGCCTTCAACGCCAGGTACCCCAGATTCAGATTCATTGGAATGCACATTCAGGCCTGTATCGCCTCGAGCTCAACCCATGAACGATTCACCACTTGACCAAGATACGGACAATCACAAGTCACCGAATCCCAGCTAATAGTTTGTAAGTCAGTTAACTTGAGGACATGATCTTTTAACCCAGTAAGAACCATGATATTGGTTGGCGCGTATATGCAAAGGCTGTGCGACTATTCATTTTGTATATTTGTTTAAGATTGTATAATTTTATGTTGTTTCATATTTATAGGTTGCAAATGTTTATTTCAGTATTAAGGAAAATTGCCAAACTGATTGTCTAGTTGACATAGGAACACATGCAGGAACATATTTCGTAGATCATTTTATATTAGAAAGTCCAAGCAGTAGTGCTATCAATGTTGTTCCTCGGTTCGATAAACAAAAGAGTCAGTATTAATACATAGTTTTTTTTTTTTCATTATAAAACTGAAATGACAAACGAACATACAGTGCACATGATGTTAATTGGCTGTTGCAGCCCATGGACACCTGCAGCCAAGTTTAAACAGAGTAGGCTACATGCGTTGTCACCTCTGATAACTAAGATGGAATGCCTTACAGCCTGCTATTTTACTGGCTCCCTATACTTTTTAAACTGAAATACGGCAGTTCACGTTACCTACTTAGAAAAGGATTCGTACCATCTAGTACAGGTACAGGCTCTTATGTAATCCATCTTAATTCTTAGGGATGTCAACACATCTGTGGGCCACCTTGGTTTAAAGATGGGTTCATATCCATTGACCACCGCAATAGCCACATACACAACATTTCACTACATAGACTATTTGTTTGTAAAAGTAAAACAAAAAAAAAACATTGTTTTGTTTTTTTCTAAGTTGTCATTTTGATACACTTTTTATTCCTTAACCAAGTTACATAATGTGCAACACATGCATTTACAAAAACCCAGAACACCTGATAAATTTGGGCTTCCATTAATTTGTACCTGTTAATGTTTTTTTCTTTTCAAATAAGGTATATTGTAATAATGTATTTTTCTTAAAAGTATTACTATAAGAAATTTCAGTTAAAAAAAAACTATTCCGAGAGAAGCGCCATATTGTTAGTTACATAAGTCCATAGCTCTTTGTAAACCAAATATACAGATCATGTCTCGATTGAAACGCTTTCGGGTCTTCGAGACCTTATAGGTTTAGTTAGCCATTTTGAACCTTATTTTACTGTATTAAGGGTTCTTATCGCGTAGTTTCGGTGCATTCGTATAGCCTACGACGTTTAGTTCCTAGTAGAACTTCATTAACGTAGCTTAGTTAAGAAGGAGCGAGTGCCCTATTAATAGCCAAAGCATCCAAAACTTTATATTATTGTAAATATTTTAGTTACGTTCATGTGTATTGAACGTATTATTGTAAATAGATTGTAGGATTAAGATGATGTAGCCATTAATTTAATTTTTTCCTGATATTAAAACCTGAATGACTAATTCAATTATAACGAAATATTTTCTGGTGGCAACATTTTACTTGCCATTTTTTGACAATAGTATAATTATAGATATACAGGGAATAACACTGTTTATTTTGTGTGGCAACATTCAATTCACCTTTAGTCATGTTTCTCTGTTTAATTTTGTAATCTTAGGAGTGGCTTAAATCTGCAAATAATTTTTAAATCTTTTATTATTTTAAAGTATAGTAATATATTTCCTTCATTCCTATTAATCTGTACTTTTAGCCAATATAAAATAAATATTATTTTATATAGGATAATAAGAATCTCAGTTCCAACAGGTGTTATATTGCATCAATGTTATAATTTTAAGGCTGTTGCAAATCTCCCTAAAATTGGAGAAAAATTATTTATTTCATCGATAATTTTGAATATTATAAAAGTTTATATAATTCTTTTATTATTATTATATTTATGTTTTATGTGCCATCAAGAAAATGACCTTAGAAGGCCGTAAACTCTCAAAGTGGTATTAAGGGAGTTACATGTTAAATAAGTCTGCGTGGGTTGTCTCTGTAGAACCCATGCACACATTAACCTCTTACACTGATATTAATTAATATGTGCTTCAGTATTTTTGATAAAGTAAACATTATGAATATGTTTCAATTCTTCACATCTAAATATTTTATATTAATTCTCCTACTAAAAATATATTTCTATAGTCAGACAAGTCTTAAATAAAATCTGTTAATATCAGCAACTTTTTTGTATACAAAAGCATAAAGTAATACACCTCCCACTTGCGGGGATAGAACTGGGATTGCTCGTCTGCGCTGCTGACATTTTAAACTCTTTACCGCATAATTCGTTTAAATTCTCTAAAAAAAATTAATGGATATTTTACAAGCAGAGTATGACCCAAGGAAAAAATAAGAAAATTAAACACTCAGTCAAAAACCTTTAGTTCCAAATCTTGAATAACATCTAATACAGCAAACATATTTGTGTTCCAGATTCGGTCCATCATGTAGTTTAGTGTTCATTTGAAGTTGATATAGGGTACATAGTGAAAAAGTTAACTATGTACCTTGATGTTTGTAAAATAACGAAATATAGTTGCAGTCGTAGTGTACTCGCCTTTTCATTATTATAATGTTCTCGATGTCTTGGCTCAAAGGGCGTCCTCTTTGGCGTGTATTTTTAGGTGTAAAAACTCTTACATCTTCTGGCATTAAGACATCTGTCAAGTTTAATTAAGTCTAGTAAGGACATATAAATTTGTTCCTCTTTCTGTTTAATCTTTCCTAACCTGTATTCTGTAAACACTGACATTGAATTAAGTAAATACACAACACCCGTGTACTTATTATAAATTGTTATTAATTTTGGGCAAAGAACATCTTTCCTTTTGAATCTTTTGACTGTCGTCATTGGTTCCTTTCCGACAAGAAGAACACAAGATTAGTAACGTGTAGTTGATCCACGTTGTGACCGATATTGTACGTCACCTACTACTGTTTATTTCTCCTTACACACGTTAATTTTTCATCTTGGTTTTTTTTCTGCAAATCAAGAATCGGTGCCCTATGTAGCCGTATGGGATCCTAAAGGGAGGAAACATTTTCGACATAGTCACCTTTAGTGCCAAAAAAAGATTAGAATTTTTTTTGGAATGATCTGCATAAAAAGAAATAACCTTTGAACGATATTTCTGTTGAATGAATTCAATGTTGTATGAACTGTTTTCTGGTTGAGGATGCATTCCCGTGAATATTTCGAAGTCATTACTAAATTCATTAGGTCCGCTCAACACGTAATTCAAGTAAACATATTTATGTGGTTTTTTGGTAATTATATAATCTTATTCATGAAGTACGAGGTTAAGTGAGGATCAATAGGTTAACATTCTTACTTTGGCTCTGAAAAGCCTATAGCTCAGTATAGTTAGGGGCATATATATAAGTTGCACGATTCATCGTTCTCGATGTCTTCATTAGGGATGTTCGATGTTTAGCCTACTCAAAACATCGACGTTGACCATTATCGATGTTTTTTGTATATGTGTAGATTTTATATATTGTTTCAAAATTATGTGGTATACACAGCAAGGGGAAAAGTAACAATTGTCTTGAATACCAATTTACGTAGAATAGTTATTATGCGACAACCGACAACGATACTACAAAATAAAGCGAAAGCAGTGACCACTGTGACATTACAGGTGACACTTGACAATTAAGTTTGAACACCATAATGATATTTTTTTAGGTTAGCGATGCGTTCAGGAATTCTGAATTATTCAAAATTTTAAATCTTCAGAGGACATGCAAGATTTAGTTGATATTGATTTCGCGGGTTCACATTGTTTGCAAGTCCCCAATGATCGATTTTGGGTTCATTAACATCGATGTTACGATGTTTGACATGTGTCAACATCGATGATCATCGAACATCCCTAGTCTTCATCATTCTGTACCTACCTCGCGGGGGCAAGGACGGGTTATGTCGGACTCGCATGGACTAAAATCCCCATGGTCTTCCACCTTCGCCACATATTGGCAGGCCCACAGAAACGCTTCCACACATATCCGCGGTCCCACGGCAGCCCCTCGGGAGGGGACTTCTCCCCCTTTTTCGCCTCATGTAAGGATAACTCCACCTCCGCAACGGACTCCTTAAGTCCATTACCCGAGGACCTTGAGGCCAGGAAAAATCGAGCACTCGAAAGTACCAGCTTTCCTGACCCCAGCGACGAATCTGGTGTGTGGCTCCGCCGCCAACCAAGTATCGGTCGCGGAGGGTAGGGAGAGCGGTACTTCGCAATACCGTCACTCCTCTCCATCAGTCTACACTACCTCAACCTTTCTTTCCATAGAAGTGTTGGGGATCCATTTTTCTACGTAGTGAATGAAGCAAACTTTATTATTTAATTTTCCCTATAAATTACATAAAATTGCTGCAAAATGGCGGAATCGACTGTTTTACTGACCTATTATAGTGTATTAGACAAAGCAGTACAATATAAGTTCCCTCTGTTGGTGTTTTATTGGATAGACCTTATGGACCAATTAGTGCCAAGCATAGTATATAGATTGCATCACTAGTCCTCTGCAACGAATTAAAGTTGACAGTCACAAAGTAAGAGTGACAAATTTGGCACCATATGCGGTAAAGGGTATAAAAATAAATTAAAAATATTATCTAAACAGGGAAATACAGAGAGGCTTACTGAAAGTACCATTATAGTATAAATTTTATTTTCTATCTTTTAAAGCGCTTGCATTTGTATGATAAGATGCCAAAACTGTTTGCAGTGTTGCCACATAAGATTTTTGTTAAGTCGGAGATTTTTCTTACATTCATGTTAATCGAAATTAAAGTAGATTGTAGGCCATGATTATATTATTGATATATGTAACACATTATTGTAGACATCAAATGAAAACCGATGTATTGTGATAGATATTGTATTTGTTATTTTTGTAATGAAAAGGAACAGCTGGTCATGGAAGCATTGGTATGGAAATTTAAGGTTTTTAATTACCTCAGATACACATGTATATGCTGTTATGAGATGCATTTTTTGTTTTAAATTGTATATAGTTTTTATTTAAGGTTAACAAGGGATTTCCAAGCCGGATGCGGTTCTGTAAAGAAGGATTC